TTCTGTCAGTGCATGTTTCGCGGGTCGTCTAATATTCAGCGTTCCCCCATCTTCGAGTTGTTCATGACGCGCGAAGTCCTCCCTGTCATCTCCTCGCGGGGCCCCCGGAGCCTCGGGGGCGCGCGCGGCGGGGAACTTCGACCTCGGCCCATCGCGGCCGAGTGGAGCGAAGTCGCTGAAGTCGATGAAAAATGCGTGCCTCAGAGACCATCGTCTTCGAGACCACGAAGCGCCGGCGCGTCACCTTCAACGCGAGAGCGCCCAAACCAAGTGGCCAGAAGTTGTCCGTTGCCGTCGCGCTCCCGCACCATCCCTGGCAACCATTCCGACCGTCGAATTCTGATATCTACGATCAACGGGGCTGCTTTGAACTTCCGGAGAATCTCAGGAGTGGAGCAGACACAGCGTGAGTGGCATGCTCGCGCCACTGAGTCGCGTGACCTCTGCGTGCGACGAATGCCTCGAGCTCGGCGAGGTTGCTTCTGGCGAGCGGGCCCGTGCGATTGAAGATTACCTCGGGTCCGCTCAGCGCGGCGTTGATCAGAAGGCCTGAAGGAACGACCTTTGCACGGAGAGTTCTATGCCCGACGTGGCCCAGGATCGCCCCATGGAAAGATCTGCGGCTCTGGCCGGGCGAAATTGCCCGGCTAATTCGGGCATGGGTGTGAATGTGCTGGCTCGCAGACATCGTAAATGCCGCGCGCGATGTAGTGCTGCGCCTGCTATGCTAGCGTGATTACTGCGTCTGAACCAGCTTGCGATGTGTAACCCCTCCCCGCAACTGTAAGCTACTTTCTCCTGTTTGTAACTGTCATGCGTTGCACCTGCGATGAACATGCCCTTGTCTACGGCATTGTTCTCCTATCGGCTACCTGGCTCGCGCTCGTGAAGAATGGCTCTCTCAACCTTCGCCTCGAAAGCCTTTTTAACGATGTCGTCTACGAACCCTGTCATGGCCATCTGCTCGAGGTCCTCCGGCATGCGCGGTGCGTCTACCTCTGCGGCGGCGCGCCCCTTCTCTCGGGCGCGCCAGCGGGGGCCGGTTTCGAGGGCAAGGTTGCTGAAGGCGCGGGCGACAATGGGCGCGGCCCCCGCGTCTCCGCGAACTGAAAGAAAAAACGCGCCTCTAAGGCCCCATCCAATAAGATCCCGGTTCACCTTTCGAAAGAAAAGCACCCTTCGCGACTCTGTCCTCAGCGCGCTGGGGGTCGGCTTCGGAGTAGAGGCCGGGAAGCGTGGTGAGAGCCCCAGGGTGCTTCAGGCCACGGGGCGCATCGGCGGCGTCGCGGCACCTCGTCAGGCGCGAGGTGCCCGCCGCCAGAAGCCTGGGAGACGAGATGAGCAGCGCGCCCATCGCGGACTCGCGCCTCCGACGTCGCAACCCTCCGTGGACCCGCTCCTCGGGCCCCCGCGGCGCGAACTTGCGGCGCAGGGCTGCAGCGCGAAAAGTCCCGCCGACAATGTGCATGATCACGATCAAACGCGCGCCGTCGACCTGGATCCGGCTGTTCCCTTTCGGCGGCCTAGCCGCCCGAGCGGGATGCCGCGTCGCAGGAGTGCGATCTCGTTTTCGGGCCACGACGAGCGCGGCGCGCAATGGATATGGAGGGGCGGCAGGCGGAGAGATGTCGACTTTCTCGAAACCGACCCCCCGACGTCGCGACGGCGCCCTCGGGCTGGTCCATTTCGGAGGGGGCTGCAGTCTACGGGCCCCTGCAGGTGTGCTCCAGGCAAGGTGGCACCTCCATGACCTCATCCTCCATGCTGGACGCGTTCCAATCCTTCATAGCTTCACCCGCCCTAACTTTATCCTCCATAACCTCATGCATTCATCCTCCATGACAAGCTGCACCGCGTTCCAACCCTCGCCGGAAAGCTCGACGGCCCTGTCGTGATCGCGCTTGTCCCTCTTCTCGCTGGTGATGTATTTGACGACGCTGGCGGCGGTCACGTCGGCGCCAGAGCAGCCGCCTGGGCAGGGGCACAACCCCGCGCGAGCACTCCATCCTCGAGAGGTCCGGCTGAGGTTGGCATGGCGGCGCGCCGTCGTTGTCCTTGATGGCTTCGTGGAGCTCCTGGGCGCGCCTGTCTGCGGTGTTTTGTGTGTGTGTGTTTGTGTTCCTGTCGTGCTTGGCGCTGCTCTTGAGCTACTTGCTGGTACGGCTCATGGTGGTAGAGATGTATTGTATTGACTCTCGAACCGTGGCTCTGCGCGCAAGTATCTGTTGCCTCGTCTAAAAAATCGAAACTGCCAACGCTGCGCAATGTGCTCGCACCCGGACAACGTGTATAACGGGCTCTTCTCTATTACGGTAGCAAGTGCCTCATTCGCGACGGTGACAAACTCAGCAGTCATTCTGTCGACGCCCTCCTGCGCCCCAATCTCGTTTACCATGTCGTATGTGTTCATAACCAGTCGCTCCGTCTCGTCGAAGACTTCATGGCGTTTGTATGTTTGTCGTAGGCGGCAGAATAGAACCTCGCGGTCTGGCCGAGGTGGTCGCGCTGGTAGAGCTCGGGACGTGAAGTCGACGTGGACTGTCAACTGAAGCGGTCTGTGGTCCTGTACCGTGGCGGTGTCGTCTAGTTGTAGGGCGCGACCCGCTGCGAGCATGACGGTGCACTTCTCCACGCACCTGCCGAATGATGACGTGATCAACATGCGACTCGGAGTTGGAATCAACGTAGGAGGACGGATCGCATAAATGCTGGCACGCGGCTACCAACTTCCATCCCACGAGAAGCGGCCGTAGCAATGTCGACGATGACGACTCGCGCCCGCAAGTACGAGAACCCTCCGACTTGGTCCCCAAGTACCTTGACGACCGCGCCGCTGAGATCGGTGGAAGTCACAGGAACTGCGTTCCGCTTGGACATATCCTGCAATGTGCCGTGGAACCAATCGATAATATTGTGCGCGGTCTGCTCGTAGGTCGGCCTGCGTGCTCTGGTGGTCTGCCTCGGTGGGAAGCAAACTCAACTACGTCCACAAGAAATCTCCAGAGTCTGTAATGTGATGGCCCCGCACCTGCCCATCAGCTGATTTGGTGCGCCATGCACTTTATTCAACAAGTTACGCGGGAAGCGCTTCCTTTTTAGCGAGAGTGAACCCAACATCATGGTGTAACATTTTGGCCTCGCATACCATCAAATGCCACTGCCTAATAATTCTGCAAAGTTCTGGTGTCGTTGACGATGGACTCGTGCGCGAGGACCTGTGTACCGAGCAGCGCGTACACGTCGCTGTTGGATGCGCAACTGGTGATCTCCAGGAACCTCGCGAAGGTCCTCGCCGCACAAGGGTTGAATGATACCGCACGGAGAAGTCCCGTGGTCCCAGCCATCCTGCTAGTCGAGCGGGCAACCTGCCGTCACGGGCCCATGACAAGAGCAACACCAGCCCGCATCACTGTGATGGTTCGGTGGTGTGCTGGAGGTGGCGCGGGTGGAGATGGTTGCGGTTGGGCCACCAGGAGGAGGAGGAGAAGGAGGATGAGAAGGAGAAGAAGGAACAGGTGGAGGAGCAGGAGGGCTTAGCTGTCGTCGTCGTTGTTGAGCGGCGGGTGCCGCGGAAAAAAAATAATAATCACCCATTGTTGGTGGGACCCCAGTCTTTCAATAAGGCCGCCGAACAAATAATTAGTTACCCCTTTTGGGGGGGTTCTAAAGACCCTTCGCGGTTAAGACGGAGCTAAATGCAAACAAAAAATCGGACTGGGATAAATCGGGGGTCTCTGAGATCCAGCGGTTCCGTAGGGGGCGCCGCGGCTTTTCCAAAGCTCCCGGGAAACGTTCTGAGTGCGTTCCGGAAAACTCTGGAACGATTTATCCCTGTCCTAGCCTCGCCCGAACTGGGCGTCCTCCGAGGACACGCAAACATGGAGTATGACGCGTGGATTAGCGACGGGTCTAGTTTCCATGCGAAAGCGGCTTGTTTGGGGGGTGACATTCCCCGATGCGTGGATCTGGCGCCTACGCGCCAGATCCACGGAAGTCCATGTCAGCAGGTGTCCGAATCTTAGAAGCTGGGGGCCTCCTTGTGCTTCCAAGCAGGCTCCATAGAAGTTGGGAGGGCTTCTGAGAAGCTCACTGCCTTTTCCAAAGGCCTCCTAAATGGAGTCCGAGTAGACGGGGTGGGAAGATCGCGCCGCATCCCCAATGCATCGTCGATGCTTCGCCGACGTCGGCGACGCATCGGCGACGTCGTCGTGGAGAAAATCGGGTTCCGCATCGTCGACGCATCGGCGACGCGGCGCGATCCTCCGGCCCCACCTGCTCCGACCCCGCATGGGAGGCCTGGACCTCTTGGAAGGCCGCCCCCCCTCGAGCCACCCCCTCGTGGGCGCCGCCAGCAGAGGTGACACCCCGTGTACCGCCTACCCCAGTACGGCAGGTTCGTGTCGTGCCGACCCCAGCGTCGGTTTTTGACACCGCAGGGATCGTTCAACCTTGAACGATCGGCCGCTGCCGC